ATTAGGCGGCTGCTGCCGAGCAATCCATTAGAGAGAGAGCTCGGGAGATTGTGATTAGAATTACTCGAAACTCGATCCTCCGCACGGTTTCCCGGCTCGTGCGTTATATATGTACCTACTACCCCTTTGTTTTTCGCACCACCGAGGCTTGAGTTTAAACATGTGTCGGCACCGCGAGGGGGTAAACTTTTCTCCGCTCGCCTACTTACTTACTTTTTTTTCCCCTCTCGGTTGTATACACAAAACAGAGGCACGCGGTCGTGGAAAGAAAATCTCGGACTCTTGCACACCCGATGCAAAATTTATACGGGGGGGGGGGAGCGAGGCCATGTACACATACTTATTATCCCTGCGGGCGCACCGGCTGACGTTTGAACAAGTGGTGGAGGCAAGTGTACACGCACGCCGCGGCGGCCCTTGGAAAATTATATACGGGGTGGGTACGAGCGCCCCTCGGATGATTAATGGATTTTCTCGGGGGCAATCATTCTTCGCTAGTGGAGCATAAAGCGCTCGCGGGGAAAGTTCCGTACGCAGTCTTTGTTGCGGAGGAAAACAGATAAAGCCTTGAAAATGTGTAGGCGCGGTAATAACGCGCTCCCCTAATGGAGGTGGTGAAAAAAAGTTAACAAAACGACCCGGGATGATCTTAATGATGCGACGATGATGTTTGTAAGGACGATAGCGGGGGAGAGTTTTAATTTTGAGTATTTCCGGGAACGCGCCCTTGTAATTGTCGGAATCCATGTTTCTTTCGATCGGCGCATATATGGTGAAAATGAGAGGTTACGAAAAAAAAAAAAAAAAAAAAAAAAGAGGGTGGGTTTCATAGAGAGCCGGAAGTAAAAAGGTGACGATAAAAGTCGAAATTTCCAGCTCTTGCGGGGCGAGAAAAAAATTTAGCCGGTCGTTCGTTACGGGGGATCGTAATGTCCAGAGGGTGGAAAAGAGGCCAATCCCCCCCGCCTGTGCGGGTCCGTGGGGGAAACCGCGGCGAGTATAGTCGGCAGCTAGCCAAATATTCGTGCCATCCAAGCCCCTTTTGCTCGTCGTGTGTGCCCGAAAAATGCCACAGGTTTGTGTGTGTGTGTGTGCAACCCTCTGTGGGGAGAGATATTTTCCCTGAAATATTTCCTCCCCCTGCTCTGCGGCAGAGGTCTTTCTGATCGAACAAACGACGACGCGCAGAGGATAGCGCGAACTTCGATACGTACAGGAAAAATCCTTTCTCCGGCTCGGCCGTGTTTAATTTTTACCGAGCAAAGCGAAGGAAAACGAAGCGTCTCGGGAGGAAAAGAAAAAAAACAATGGAAAAATGAAAAAATCAGATCTTGGTACCCTTAGCCCGGACTCGGCGAAAATTCACGTTAACGACGATGAACTGCATCAGAGGGAGGAACGGGCGTCAAAGCGCTTCCCTCCCTCCGTCCTTTTCGCGTCGACGAGCCGCAGGCTGTTTGCATATATCCGCTGCGCTTTCCCATCTTTCCTCTGTTGCGCTGCTGCTCCTTTGTCTTCTTCTTCCTTTTCCCTCCTATCTATTTACTTGTCGCGCTTCCTCTATTTTTTCCCGCCCACCTCTCATTACCCGCTCATCTTTTTGTCTGTCAGGCTCTTGCCTCTGCGGCTGCTCGCGCGCACGCGAGGGTGAGGCGAAAAAAAAAAAAAAAAAAAAAAAAATGAAACGTTTGAACGAGTCGCTTCGCTTCCTATGAGCACTTACTCTTCCTATATCGCCGACCCTGTTGGTTTTTCTTTTTTTCGCCCTCTTTGCACAAAAACCGCTACACTCGATGTTCCATCATACGTCGACTTTATCATTGGAGAGGTGCTTTTTCTTTTTTTTTTTTTTTTTGTTCTACCATATAGCAGATGGCAATTGTTTTCAAATCGAAATAAGCAAAAGGTAAAATAGCTACTCGACAGCTTACCATGATTTTATCTCGCGAGGATTTGGAATAAGCTAATGTTTTCTAGTCGATGTAATTTCAAGTAACATTATTACTCCCGTGCTATAAATTATATTCACGCAGAACAGAGGAAGTGCAAAAGGAGACGCGGGGGACAAAAGCACCAGTGACATCAATTTTTTTTTTCCCCCCCTCTCGGCATCAAGTTCCACCGCAACGCGTATATACACACAAGCATCGGTGCCCGCATGTATTAGTATAAGCACGTTTGTTCGGTCTCCGAACGCGAGGATTTTTTTTTAACTTTCACCTGCAAGCTCATCCGGGAACACGGCGCGTCACCTCCGGCCTTTGTTCAATTTTTCCAGCGCCGGATTCGGATTTTTCCCAACGCGTCCGCAAATCACGCGGACGAGCCTCGTAACTCTTTAACCCCCTCCCTCCGCTTTACCCATCCAACCACGGCTTTAATCACACGGCGCGTACACACACACACACACACACCGCAGCCGCAGGGTAGACGCGGCGCTCTATTAGATTTTGAATATTAACGCGCGAGCGGGGATGCGCCGTAATGGCTCGGCTGTTGGTGGTGCACGCCCGCGATCAACGGCTATTAATAAAATTTTTACACCCTATAGTGTATATACTGCTGTTGCTCGAGAAAAAAAAAAAAAAAAAAAAAAAGTACAAACAATTATACATTTTTTCGAGCAGCCAAGCTCTGTTTCATTACCAATAGGGATGCGCTGTGCAACAAGAGCGACGTGGCGAGTGGCAAAAGCTCATTATACATCCGAGCATACGGATGTTGTCCGAAGATCAAATTGGATGAAAGTAATTGAAAGGTATACTCCAGCGGTGGGGTGGGGGAAAAAAAAAGCAAAGTCGAAAGAGGCGCGGTTTCGTCCGATGAGGAATCATTAACCTAATTAAGCCGGTCTCCCGTTTTAATTAACAGAGTCTCGCTGAAGCAGTGGCGGACGCGCGAGTAGAATTGAAACGGCGCTCCTTTTGCCGGCCAGTCGAGCGAAAAACCGGACTTATTTATCCATCCCATTCCTCCCGGCTAGTCGCTTCTATTTATCGATCCCCCCCGGCATATATACACGTCCACTCGCTCCCTTTGGCTCGGCCGAATAATCCGGTTGCTAATGCGTGTGAATACAATGCGTACGTTTGCTTGTTTCTTTTTTTCTTTCAGCGACGATTTACCCGGATAAGGAGTTTTTTGTGCCCCTCGCGGGAGAAGAAAAATATTTCTCTGCTCGCAGCCGATAAAAAAAGTGTACCGCAATTAACTATACGTACAACCCGTACACTCTCTCGGGAAAAAGTTCCGACGAAACAAGACACGCGTACATATACACAAAGAGAGGGTGGTTTTCTCATCGCGGATTAATTCGCTCCTGCGCTACGGAAACTCGATATAGTCGTGCCGCGCGCATCTCCGTGGTTTCTTTTCCCCGTCTCGAGGGACTCTTTGCATCTTTGCGAAACACCAGCATCGCCGTAGTCGTGGAGTATACGTATTAGGTATATATATATATCGGCGTTGCGCCTCGGCGCGTCAAAGGAATAAGGAGAGCCAGCCAATCAGACCCGCCTTTGGTAGCTCTCGTTCTCGACAACAACGGCAGCCGGCAACGCAATCTCCTCGAATTTCTATTATTCGCCTTTATTTCGATCCTGATTATCAAAGACTCCGCTCCGGATAACGGGGCCCTGCCGCGCAAACACGATCGTAATAACAAAGTCCGCGATATTGGATTCAAAGGCGGATGTGTATCATTTTTTCTTGTTTCTCCTTCTTTCGCGTCAAACGCATTTACAAAAGCAAGTACCAATACAATTATCGCCTCGGGGAGCTAGGACAATCCGTACCCATTGACGTGGTAAGTGGTTAGCACAGTTCAAAAAGCGCCTTATAGAAAGTTTTAATCCTACATGATTCTAGCTAATGGAGTAAAAGCCGCGTTGTATTTTAGCCAAAGCGTCGAGGAAAATATATATATATATATATATTTCCGATCTTGAAAAATAAGAGCCGTCTCTATCGAGCCCTGGAGTACGGCGACGTCTCGGCTTATATGCTCTATATAGCTCGCCGGCGTCTCTGCTAATTAAGCAATTAAAGCGTAATTACGGGGACGCCTCTCGAGTGCCCGTGGAGCGCGCCAAACAGAGAGATAGCGGCTTATACAGCAGAAAATATTTCAACGGTAGTGTTACATAGGAGAGTCAGGCGCCGGGGGTGGGACGCTCGCACCAGAGCAAGAAACTCGTTTCCTGTTTGACGCGTTCTAAGCGTTGCCCGATGGTCCGAACACACAGCGAGCGGCTTTAAATTTGGAGGACGAGCCGCGGGTTATGTGTTGCACGCGGTCGAGAGTTCATATTCGGTATACAGCCTCGACCACGGCGATTTAATTCAATTACGTGGAGGTACACATTACATATACAGAGACTCGGAAAAACCAGCCGAAAGGCGACAATGGAGTCCTTTCTTTTCACTGCGCGTGCAGAGGAACGTGCTATTATGAGCGCGGAACTTTGCCACCCCCCCCCGCATAATAAGCCCACACAGTTTGAGGCCGCGCGGCGAAATAAACATAAAGCTGAAACAGCTTTGGTGCCGTATTTAGTTTGTTAAACGGCATAGCCAGCCGCGAACGCGAGCTGCCTCCGATCGAACTTGATGAAAGAGGAGGAGGACCGACTGACGGGGTATAGGTGGGCATCACGTGGGGGAGTTAAATTGCACGGGTATTTGCTTTTGGTAATTATTCGAGTTCTCCTCTTTGCATATACCGAGAGAGAGAGCCAATGTGTGTGTGTGCGTCACTCGTATTGCTTGACCCAGTAATTACGAACAAATAGCCGTTGTACTCCCCTCGATGTACAATGTGAAAGCCTCGTTCTTGCGTGTGTGTACTAACTTATAGGGAATCCGAATCTATAGGGGCATGTACCTACTCTCGAATGACTGTTATTTCAGAGACAGCGGATAATATAATATAATGTACAGTGCCCAACGGAGCAATGGCAGTATGGTTTTAGGGGTGGTATGGTGATGCTAACGTGACTCACCGATTGTCGTCAGTACAGTGAGCGAGTAGAGGAACGCCCGAGCAAAGTTCCACTCGTAGTTGGCCGGATTTTTGCCGGCCGTGGGGTCGTCGCCGCCGCTCGAGCGTACCGCCGAGTGCCGAGCGGCCTCGAGGTTGCTCGTCACGGTTCGCACCACTTGGTCCTGGAAAAGGGACAGCTGCTCCGAGGCGAGCCTCGTCCAGTTCTCGTGGTACAGGATGTTCAGCTTCTCCGTCGTCACCCACAGGCTCTCCACGGCGTGGCTGCGCGCGTCGTTTATCTGCAAACGCGTCGTTTACCCTTGGTTAACAAATGGCCGCCGGTAAATCCAGCCCTATACAATTACATAAGCGTGTGCGGGCCGTTTTATCTCATTATTCGGATATAAAAAAAAATTATTTCCACGTAAGTGTTGATTGTTTTTTTTTTTTTTTTTTTAACCTTTGCTTTGACACCATTAAAATCAAAAAGTGAAATTTGGCGACATTATTGAGGGTTTTGGTTCTTCCACCATAGTGCTGATTTTATAAAAACCTATGGAAAGTATCTCACCGGGGACTTATTATTACAATTTGAGGGCCACTACACAAAGACACTACATATTACGTTCTAAGCAAACGGTAGGTGGAAGTACCTGATTGAGCCAGGTCTCGTTCCTGCGGGTCGAGTGGTCCGTGGTGGCGAGGGTGTGCTGTCGAGGCTGGAGCTCGCCCGAGCCCTCGATCCACAGAAACAGGAAACTACCGAGCAGCGTGTACAGCACGAGGATGGCGCAAATCACCAAGTTTATGAAGAAGCCCTTGACAAACGAGTGGCTGCTGGCCTTGTCGGGTACCCCGCCGAAGCACAAGCAACGCACCTGTCTATTGCTCCCTCCACCCCCAGAGGCCCCGTTACCACCGGCGCCAACTTGTTGGTCCTGGTGGTGCATGGCCAAGGCGTTGCCGGCGTTGGTCATCACCGGGTGGTGCTGGTTCGAGTTGGCCATCCGTTTGAGGGTCGAGCTGTTCCCGTTGTTGGCCGGCTTGAGGGCCTCGTACGCCCGGTAACAGCCTCCCTGCTTGTCCTGCATCCTCCTCTCCAGCAGGGCCTCCTCGTCCTCCTCCCCCACCTCGACACCAAGGATCGCCGGACAACCCGGGGCGTGATGCACGCTACACGTACCCCCGTACCCAACACCGTCTACCACCACCCCCTCCTCCTCCTCCTCCTCTTCCTCCTGTTGTTCCGGTTGGTACTGCAGGTGATGCGTCGACTGGTCCCCGTAAAACGTAGAAAAGGCGCAGACGTCGCAGGGGGACTGTTGGGTGGTACTCGGCGACTCGGTCAGCTCGACCGGGTGCTCGAGGAAGGTCACGCGCTTCTCCCCACCCTGTCTACCGCCACTGGCGCTGTTTAACTTGACTAGTGTCGATTGGTGATGATGATTATGATGATGATGATGATGATGCTCCGCTCCGGCCACGATGGCCAAGGGCTCGAGTGCCTCGCCGCCCGGCTCCAGAGCTGCTGCGCCTGGCCCCTCCAGCCGCTGGCCCGTTCACCTCGCCACCGCCGGCCGTACACCTCGGGGCCGCCGGGCGAGGCTCCTCGGCCCGCTGGCCCCTAAGCACCACGCGGCTACGCTCATCGACCCACTGCCTCGAAGCCCCTGCTCCTTCTCGCCTCCTCTGCCGGGGCCCGCGGCTCCCTCATCTCACGGCGAAAAAGCTCTTCCGACTGTTTTTTTTTCTTTTTTTTTTTTTTTTCCTTTTCCTTTGTGTACCTCTACGCGGTGCGCGACTTTCGGCGCTTATGACACTTTCTGCGTGACTGAGATGACTACAGCTGGTGCCTCCTCGGTTGAAATCACTGCCTCGACCCGTTGCTGCGTCGCCGTCGATTGCATGACTGATTCGATCCTTCGGCGGGTGGTGAGACGTTCTCGACGGGTATACCGTGGAATGTTGTCCGTCAGGGAGCCTTGAACAAAAAAAAAAGAGAGAGAGGCTATGATACGTGATAATCATTGAAAGAAAAAAACAAGTCGTTTGATAAATGGGTACAAGTGGTTGGACGTGCCGAGATGTCGCAAAGATATGCCCGGGGTGTAAGCGATTCAGCCGCGAGGAGGAGGAGGAGGAGGAGGCATGAAAAATTCGCGAGCCAGCCGGGACAAGTGTCTGATGTTGCGAAGCTCAGCGGATTAGGTGGTAGCTGCTTCGTCGTCGTTTCGGGGCTCCGATGGCTGCTTCCATAAATGCATGCCACGGCTTCGCGATCAGACGGGGATGAATCCGCCCGAGACGGATCGCTCCGACGGCGTCTCGTCCCTCCGTCTCCCAGGAGTGATATTTAAATCACAGTCTTGCCGGAAACCTTAGATCCGACGGAATTCTCTCGGGGCGGAGGGGGGAAAGGTCTTTCCGATAAGGAAGCGGAGAGAGAGAAAGAGAGAAAAGTTGCTGCAACCCGACACCGAGCGAAATCCTTCGTCGTTCCGCTGGAACAACCATTGCTGCTTCCTTTCGCTCACTGTGTCCTTAATTTATGGTTGCGGACGGTGACCTATGGTACAGGGACTCTTGTTTTTTTTTTTTTTTTTTTTTTTTTTTTTTCTACAAACTTTCCAACCCTACGTTTTTGCCGGGGACTCGATTTTTTAGGGCACCAGATGTAACCATAAGCGCCAGTCATCGATCTCTAATTCCTGCCAAGTCCCGCCAAATAACGCCGTGAATGTGCACAACTTTGCGAAATTAATCATCGAAGCACCGCTGAGCCTCGCCATTATAATCGTCTTACGCGCAAAGCAAAGTGGGGTATGAAAAAAAAAACAAAAAAAGATGTGCTCCATAAATTAATGCGTGAAACAATGATTTGAATCAATGTGTACAAATAAGCACAAAGTGCAGGGCCATTAATAAAAAACAGAGCTGTGGTTTCCGATTGCGAAAGAACTCTGTGACCGAAAAGTATTCCCACCGCCTCGATAACAAACACGGACGGTGTAGGGGATGGGGGGGGGAGCAGGAAATCATTTCTTCCCTGAAAAAATTGCCATCGTCAGCGGGGGAGGAGGGAAGAAACTCCGCGGTGTAGGTGGGGATGGGCGGGTATGTACACGTAGGAAAAAGCAGAAGGCACGAGAGGAAAAGCTCGGTTCATCGTTTCTCGAGGAGACTCTCGAGAAAATGGCTTCTTTCAACATTCAGGCGCACGTGGAAAAGCACGCGCTCGCTCTCCCCGTGTATTAGCATTTATAAGCGTAGCCGCCCACCGAGAATCGAAAGATAACCACGACCGAGAGGAAAGTCGCCGAGTCCTCGATTACCGTCGACTTGCGTAACCTCGAGGAGAAAAAAAAAAAAAAAAGCGAGAGGAAGAATATTCAATTTTGCTGTCGCTCGGCTTCTTTCAAAGCTACCCCACCCCCCTGCGTCTGTGCGTGTATACGGTACGAAAACGAGCACGACTTTCATACCCGCGCCATTGTCGGTCCTACTTGCGGAAAAGTGTTTATTCGATTCCGTTTAGCATCACCGTACACACGCTCCTCCGAGGTGTTTACTCTCGCGATCCCCCGCGGAGCGCCGCCCTCTCCGCCCAGTCCCCAACCCCAGGGGAAAAAATCCCAGTAGCTGATCTGCAGCGTGTCAACGGGAACTACGAGGGGGAGAGAGAGTGAGAAATCAGTTGGAAAACTCTTCTCACCTCCACCCCCTCCCCCCCTGGGCTGCGTATATCCATCTCGTTGATTTGAATAATTGCGTAATAATTGCTCGCCCAACTTTGTCCCGCTGTTTCCCCACCCCCCCCATGGGTACCGAAAAATAATGAAATTATCTGTTATATGGGAGGACTATGAAGTCATCATCGGTAACAATTAAACATTTAGGGGATGTTTTGGGCTCGAGATGCGCGGCGTCTGACCAAACTCGGCCATTACTACTGGAAATCGGTTCTTTGCCCGGAGCCGGTGGATCCCCTCCATCACGTGGACCCTCGATCGGTCATAATTCGTACAGCCAGCGGTGCGTACCTTATAGCCGATGAGGATCTCATTTCTACGCGACTTACGGGAGCACGTCGTAAGATAGCTATCCGACGAATGTCGCTCGGCTCCTCCATTAGGGGGCACCCTCGCCACACGCGATTGAGCTTAACGACGAGCAGCGCAGGCGGAGATTCCTCCTCTTCGGATGGCTTTGCGAGGGCTACGAAAGGGCCGTCAAAAATTTCATTAAGCCATGTACCACCCCCCCTTCGATCGATTACGCGCACGTGGCAGTTTATTGGCGCGTTCGGAAATCGCTGCGCGCATATACAGCCGCGTCGCCGGTGGGTATTATTCATCCCGCGTGCATAAAAACTCATGCAAATGACGCGCGACAGTTTGGCCCGGGCATTACGTGGAATCGTCATCGCCCAAGCTTTTGAGCCAATCCTGCCACTCTGCGGAGTTGTTGGTCGAATGTAAGTTTTACGCGCGCCAAGTCAAGTGCAAGTTGTTTCATTACTTTATTTTTGGGAGTTTTTCGCTAAAAATAGACGTCCAACAGGTTGCGGTTGAATAAATTACCAGGGACGTCACAGAGGGACAATTAAAGATTCAGATGCCGCGTGCGTGTTTCGAGCGCAAAAGCCGGAGGTGAGGTCGTTTAATTTTGAAACATATTGTCGTGCTCCCGATAGGATGGCCTTTCAATTTGGGCACCCGATGCTAAATCGGTAGATCCACGAGAGTCGTGAAATATTTAATCCACCGAGAGATCTCGCGAAAAAACTCTAGTCAGAGGGTCCTCCAATGACTTACGGCTTCTGTACTTCAGGGGACTCCCTGACTAAAGTTTTTTTTCCCCAGTCCTTGCACGCAACGGAGATATGTTTACGATCGACCCGAGAATAATAGCCAATTTTATTTGCTCTGATAAACGAGTCCGGCCTTGAGATATTGGAGGACCGAAAAAAGGAGGAAAAAGAAAAGTAATGGAGAAAACAGGGGGCAGGTCTACACCCCCCCCCCCTAAAACTTGTGTACCGATCTAATAAGTCGGTTTTTCGGTAACCCTCGTCACGAAGACGTGTTAAATGACAAGTAACGCCGGCGGGCTGTAACAGCCGAGCCCGAAGCGTGTGCTGCATCCGGTCGGTTGTCACGGAAGAACGACCCGGAAGGGCTTAAAAGGGAACTCGGTGCTCGAAAACAAATAGACGACGATACATATTCTCCCTTCTCTCGTCGACGAGGGTATATACATATACATACACGTGCGTACAATATACACGGAGTTTGGCGCGGGTGTGGTCGAGCTTGGCCTCGGCTATTTCCCTATACTCTATACGTCACGTACATAGCCGAGGACCCGGTGTGTAAGCGACACCACCGCATCCCTCTCCGAGAAATAATACGGCCAAGGAAAACATACTGTTGGCTCGATAAATAGCGCGATTTCATGTTCTCGCTTGCATCACGTTCTATATATACATATGTCGTGTGGGTGTAAATATTTGCACGGGATCTCCGTTGCGGATCATGTTTCGTCAACTGGAAGATGTTGGATTTTTCACCGTACTCGTATTTTTTTTTTATTTTTATTTTTATTTTTTTATTTTTATTTTTTATAATAACTATACTATTTGACTATAGAAAATAGCAAGAGTAAGCTATTATCGTGCCAATTTTTTTTATTTAACTTTTAGTCAACATAATCCATCCCTTTGTATAGTTACATTTTATGTTCACATATACTGCACGTAACTAAAGAGTCAAAGTATACTATAGTAATATTTGATAAAACTTAGTTGTGTTGTGCATTTTATTATTATGTTGGTTTTTTTGTTTCCATACCTATAAAAGCTCACATCGGTAATCCATGTCCATCAAATGTAACGTCTCTCTCTATCAGTATAGCAAACAATAAATTCCCCTGTAACATTAAGCCCACATCACAAAGCCATTCCTGTAATATCCTCGCGCTGCGCTGTGCAAATTTAACGCTCGGATTGCACCATCATCATCATCATCATCAGCAGCATTAGTTACGTCCTGTTTGCTCATCCGTATTATCTAACACACACACACACGGGCGCAAAAGCTGCGCTCACGGGCTCGCGAAATTAAATCGCGTTATTAATCAGCGGCCGTTAATAATATTGCGTGTGTACCGCGTCGGGGACACACACACACGGAGCGCGAGGTTTAGATAATGCGCGCGCTGCCGGGGCATTTCTGCGTTTCTAATGAAGTCGATCGGACGAGCACTCCGTTGACTAATTAAACATTCGATCGCCAGTGCTACATAGAACCCCGTATAATACCGCACATATATGACTCGAACAAACCCACTTTCATGTGTATACATCCAGTGTAGAGAGAAAAAAATAAAAATAAAAAAAATAGGGAATATGCAACTAGGGCGATAATTTACGAAGGAGGGGTAGTTTGGTTCAAGTGGAGCATGGGCCCCGGGGGGTAGTAGTGAGCTTACATCTTGTCGTCACGCGCGCCGACTCGCAATGGCCATCTAATTCCCCCGTGACAACAACACGCGTGCACCGGACCCGATGTATACACGCCGCACACCAGTTAACATCGATTGGCTCGCCGCGTCTTTGACACGGTGAATTATTGAGCGCCTTTATGCCCCCCCCCCCCCATCCATCCGCTCCTAAGTGCACTTGAGTATACGCATCCCGTATATACTCCGGCGTCGATGGCGCGCCCCGCTCCGATTATTTATTCGCTCGGGAATATTAACGTGATTTCGAAAACCAATCGACGATGCGGTACCGGCAGTGCCCCGTCCAACGCACGGGGGAGCTTTGATCGGGAGTTTCGGGGGGAATCACTTTGACGTTTCAAAGTCAAAAGTTCCAACAACGGGTTACCTGCGCTCGAGCGCGCAAAGGCACGGGAACACAGAGCTAGGAGTTATTTCCATCCAAGGCACGGCGTTGTAATTCACAGGTGCCAAAGACCC